CTTGCAATGGCTTACTTGGGTCGTAGTGTGCCAGAATCGATGGTGTTGCTAGCGCTGTCGTGATTTCCTCGAACGCTGCTTGACACGCTTTGTCCCAACACCAGCGCTGGTCTTGACGCAGCAGCCTGTAGAGCGGGCTCGTCAGAGTGGATAGTCGTGGAACAAATTTCCCGTAGTAATTTACCATACCCAGGAACGACTGGAGCTGCCGCTTGCTTGAGGGTACAGCAACCTTCAGCAGAGCCTCGATCTTCTCTGGCGTCGTGCTGATACCTGCAGCACTGATCATGTGGCCCAGATAACGCAGCTCCTTCTGGAAAAACGCGCATTTTTCCTTCTTCACACGAAATCCACGCTCTGACAACCGCTTTAGGACTGCTTCCAAATTGGCCAAACGCTCTTCCGGCGTCCTACCGGTGATGAGGACGTCATCCAAGTAGCAACTGACGCCTTTCAGATCTTTCAGCATTGTGTCCATGGTTCTCTGAAAAATGGCGGGTGCCGAGGAGACTCTGAACGGTAACCTGTTTACGGCAAACAGTCCTTTGTGTGTATTTAAAGTTAGGTATTTGCTCGACGTTTCAGCCATCACCACCTGGTGATTATACCGGTTTAAATCAATCTTCGAAAATTCCTGGCCTCCTGAAAGCGCTGCGAACAAGTCGTCGACTCTCGGGAGCGGATACTGGTCAGTGTCAAGGCAAGGATTCACGGTGGTCTTGTAGTCGCCGCACAACCTTATTCCATCGTCCTTCTTCACTACTGGCACAACCGGCGTCGCATAATCACTCGTTGTGACTGGTGTTATGACGCCCATGTCTTGCATCTTCTTTAGTTCAGCCTCGACAGCAGGCTGTAGTGCAAACGGCACGTTTCTTGCCTTGAGGAATTTCGGTACGTGACCTTCTTTTAGCGTCAGCTCTGCCCTTTCTTCAGCAATAGTTGCCAGGTCTTTATTGAACAGATTTTGGTACTTGTCCAGAAGCGCACTAAGCTTTGTGCGTTGTTCGGAAAGCGCCAAAACATCTGACCTGGCAATGCTGTTGATCCCGAAGATCCGGTTCCAATCCAATCGGATCGCTTGCAGCCACTGCCGGCCGAGCAGAGGTGGTCCCTTTTCTTTTGTGATGTAGAGGGGAAGCTCGGTCCTCTGCTGTCCGTACTGCACGTCGACGTGAGCAACCCCGACGGGCTGAACGATGTCTCCCTTGAATGTGCGCAGCGTGAGCGTCGTCGGCGTGATCTTTGTTGAAGGAGATATCTGACGAAACTGTTGCAGTGACATGACAGAAACAGTTGCTCCTGTGTCCAGTTCCATTTCCAAGGCAGCTTCCTGCACGTTTATTGTGAGTTTTATTGGTTCCATACCAGACGTGGTCATTTCCTTCATGCTAACTGCGTCTTGAACAGGAACCAGTTTCTTCATCGCCTTACATGGCGTCCACTTCGATTTCTTTTCTTTGTCAGCATGACAAAACATGGCAATCCCATCCTCGTCGCCAAGTTGTCGTGTCTTGACGGGGCAACAGACACAGTAGACCGGAGGACCATGGCCCGAGGTTTATTCCATGGAGAGTGGAACTAGAACGAACCTCTCGTGCTATCAAACTGACACGACGATAAAGAAGAGCGAAGGAACTAAAGCGCCGCCACTATAGTCCCAGTAGCGCGCGCTTGGCGGTAACTACACAACACTTAGGATTGTTGTTTGCTTTTGATGTCTCCTTGTAACCCACTCCCCTCTGCAATGCCCTCGGGACCTGAGGCTATTTGAAATAAAGAAATAAATAAATAACAAGTACTAGTTTTTGCTACAGTTCTGTTTTGGTGGAAGCTATAATCAAGCTCACTGATCAGAATTATCTCATTTTAGATATAATTTTTTGCCGTATAATGTTCTCTCCCTGGTTGACTTTATTAATAGTTTATGGTAAAGGTTGCAGTTATCTGACTGGATTAAATCATCTTGAAGCACTCTACATAGAATCCAAAAGTTCCCTTCGGAATTATAAGAAAACATTCGTAGGGCTAGCTTATATTTCATTGTAATTCGTTGCACTGCATATATTAGGATAAAACCATTGTGTTATTGTATTAAATGACAGAGCCTTTCTCATTTTTCCAACCCTCAAAAACCACTCATATGCTTTCATTGCATGGCAGAGAAATAAAATTTCTCCGAACTGTCAGCTAGGTCTTAGGTCATGCTTTAAAACAACACAGCAACAAGAATGTTGTGACAAGCACCATTTTACCCGCGACGTTTTGTTTCCTTTCTGTTTCGCTCTACAGCGCGTGAAAGAGCGTCTCCAGGCTTAAGCTCTTGGAATTGACAGTGGCACGACAATCCGGTTCTAAGTTTTCCCGCTCATACCAATCCAAGAGGCAGCATTCTTTTTTTAAATCTGAGCGTCCCTGAATATAATTAGGCTGTACAACAATTTAATCCAAGTGGCCATCAATGGAATCCAAAAGCAAATGAATTTAATTTAAGTTAGCACCAATTTAATCCGAGAGAAAACGAAGTTTATCCAGGTTATCACCAATTTAATCCGTATACGCTTCTATTTTAAACGAAGAGCCTATCAATTTACTCTGTTTTAATTTGTGAATTAACAATTACTGCAACTCATTTGTAGCAATTCTTTTAGAGGTCTGAGGTTGCTAGCCAGTCACAAATTAATTTTTTAATAATGCATATATGCGTGTTTCATGACTGCTTCCTCACATTACAAAACCATGCCTTCGGGGTACGCTTGCGCCGTGCCGCGGTTTCAGCATCGGGCGTCCACTGCTCCTTTAAATCGTCTTCAAAACTTGGCGGTGTGCTTGAGCCGTGGCACGGCTGTAGACGTCGCGTGTCGACTAAACGATATCTCGATTCAACGTCGTTCGACCAGCTGATTGCCACCAGAATACTCGTCCCTTTGGGTGCATGAAAAGAGAGGGTCAGTACGTTCGAAGCGTACATTGAGCTGTGGTACAGTGTGAAGGTGGCTTGGGGTGTGTTGTCACCGGGTTGTCTCCTGGGTAGGTCGAAGGGGGTAAGGGTGTCTTCGAGATGACTGAGGACCATGACGAGCCCCCCGGTGTAGCCAGGGGAAAGGTTTTTAAACATCAGCTGCAGCCCCAGCACCAGCCCCAACCGCCCCCCCTCCTTTCCCACACTCTCCAAATTCCAGCCGACACTGTAAACCTTTAAATTTTTGAGTTTTTATCAGTGCTCCTGGCGAGCACAATAAAATATTTTTGGTCGCGCGCTTTGTTTGCGTGACACCATGCTCCTCGAAGTTGCCCACAGACGCTATAAAAAAAAGCCGCTGTAAGGAACGCACTTTTAGCGTTTCTATAGACAACGAGGCCACGACTCGTATAATTTTGTTCATTGATGTTAATTTTTTTTCAGGCACTCTGGTAGCGCGGAGAGCAGACACTGACAGGCGCTTGTATTCGAAAATACCTCGTGTATTACCTGATACAGCACCGCCTTTGTGGTCGCGTGACTCAGATGGTACCATGGTCGCGTCCTTAGGAAGCGCTCGCGGCAACTCGGCGAAAAAAACAGGTCTATGATATACACATGTATCCTCAGCCCTTCCCCCCCCCCCCTCCCCCCGTACCCCGAGTCATGGTCGTCCCAATTACCTCAAGCCACTCACCCCCCCCCCCCCGTAATACATTCCTGGCTAAGCCATATTGATTGGGTTAAGACAGCGCAAAAAGACGAAGGACCAGTAAAAGGAGACACGCAGAAAGAGCGCTGAATGGGTAAAAACAGCACAAAAAATGAGAGCCGTTTGCAAATCCCTGTAACGCCGAATTGGAGCGCAGCTCTTGAGGAGGAGTAGGGAAGGGTACCGAGGGGGGTCAGGTCAGCTGCGAGTAGTCACGCGACCCCCCCTCTCCCGAGATCACGTGACCTCGGGGGGTCACGTGATTTCGGGGGGGGGGGGGGGGGGTCACGTGACCTCGGGGGTCACGTAACCCCCCCCCCCCCCCGGTTACGCCGACGCCGACCCCGACGCCGACGTGCCGACGCCGACGCCGCTCAGGCTGGAAACGGGCCCCTAAGAGCTGCGCTCTAACAACCGAACGACCAGTAAAATAAAACACACAGAAACAGCGCTGTGTCTGTGTGTTTCCTTTTACTGGTCCTTTGTCTTTTCGCGCTGTTTCAACCCATTCAATATGACCATCAACCAACTCGCCCAACTGTACACCTTGTTGCAGTTCCTGGCTAAACCACTGCCCCTGGGCCTCATGCGCGACAACGCTATCCCATCCGACGTACGAAATCATAGGGAAAATGGCTGCCCCGACTCGCCGTACACGACAGTTGGAGACACATGCTTCTGACGCTTCGTTGGAGTCATTCCATTCAGCTCGGCCTAGTTCCGGGCGGTAGCTTGCGCCACCTAGCCTTGAAATCCAAAAATACTATTCCTCCCCCCGCCCTTCTAATATGGCCTTCCGCTTAATCGTGGTTTTTCTGCTTTGAAAATAAAACAAAATATTTTATTATATTCCATCAACGAGACAGAAGAACAAAGTTTTTGCTACTATTCAGTTTATTGTGAAAATGCCCTCTTTTCTGGGGCCTTTCATTCACTAGTTGAGTACAGAAGCACCTTTCTTACTTATTCTTCAAAACCTAAGCATACAACAGTTTTATAATATAAAAGTGTCGCGTGCACGCTTCTGTGCGAACAAAACTTATTGTCAAGTGGAGACGCTGAAAAGGCTAAAACTCGTACTCTGCTAAATATAACATTTTTATACTATGTTCATTCTAATACACTATCATGAGTAGGCATTTTTGTCTTCTTCCCCTCGTTTGGTATTGATTCAGCGAGAAAGTTCCCACGGAAACGGGACATTTGCCTCTATTCAGGCAAGATGACGGAACGGCAGATATATGAACCTCTAAAACTGGACCGCCCCGACCAAAACGGGACGTCTGGTCACCCTATCAATAGTGATTCTCGAAAATTCTGATGCAGGACCGGCAGAAGGAGATAAATTGCAAGGTGGTTTGTTCCGGTTATAGAACAGATGGGTCGAAGCGTTCCATCGTTACCCCGGCTCTAGATGGCATGGTCTGTGTCTTGGGAAAGGTGAGAAGGATCTGTACAATAATACTATCATAATGAGCCAATTTTCGCGATAGTTTGTGCATGTAGTTCACTAAAACCTGTTGCAGGTTAAAAAAAGCAGAACAATTTCCTCCTGCAAAGCCTCTTTCCGCTTTAGCAGAGCGAACACTGGACAGGAGGCAAGTCTCTCCTCGCATCGTCTCAACTGCTCTCCGGCGTTTGTTCTGCTAAGCTTGAGCTTCTTTTCTTAGCCTGCAACGGCGAATAAAATAATACATTCCACTCCACACATTTGCATTAGGTGGCGTACGTATGAAGCACCAAGTCCGCCCCTATTGGTAAGGAGCCCGCTTTCGAGAGAACGCATGCGCATCGCGATGTACAGCGCTGCGGAGCTCTGGCCGCCAAGGCGCCGAGATACCGAATTCGCCAAGACAGCAAAGACGGCTGTCTCCGCTATCTCGAAGATTCTCCGTGACGATAGATGGCGGCAGTCATCCGTCCTTATTCAACGATGAAAACCCCGAGCATCCGCGCGTCCAGCCGTTCCTACTGCGTAAAAGCTGTCGGTGCCAAAACCATTGGATTTTTACGGAGTAAGATGCTATTCCTACTAAAGGTAATACATCCTTGTGGGTGTTTTTGAGAGAAAGAAGAGAAGCAGAATAAACAAGTGGAGAGTAGGGTAAAAACTATGGCTGGGCACTAAATCATTCAACCTACCGATTAATCGATTGTTTTAATCGCAATTAATTTTTAAAATAATTAATCGGCTAAATATCGACCAAAAAAACTTACACATCCACGAGACCAAACGGTCTGCAGGCTTACAACACTCTCAAGACGATATAAAGAAAAAAACAATGCCGCGTAAAGAATGTATGAGAATATGTACACAGATTGTATATTGTCTTAGGGCTACCCAATAAATGGCGCCAGAGTGTTCTCAAGTCGTAAGCGGCTACAAGAGCGTGCGATCAAGTTGATCACACTGAATCGCAAATGTGAAAACCACCCTTAGCTATGCATCTTTTTTTTTTTTTTTTGTTTCTTCATTTCTTTTTTTTTTCATCCCTCGTTTCGTTTGTCTCGAGTTTGTTCGTTTTCGCATTTTTGTGTGCTTGTTTCTGCTGTGCCCTCAAATCTAAGAGGTTCCGTGTTTTCGGTAAATACCGGTAAAAACAGATAAGTGACGCCCGAGTCTGCGTAATCAAAATAAGAAAAAACCAGAAAAAAAATACAAATGGTAGCTGTCATTGAAGAACAGAAACCCCAGCCACCACGGGGAGCAAACATTTATATACAGCTTTATTTTCTGCTGACTAAAAAAGAAACGACCCCCAATGAACTGGCCGTGAGGCCGCTGAGAACCACGCCCCTTTTCTTCATTCCTTATTTTATCTGTATGAAGACGTTTTCCAAGTATCTGGGGTCACGCGTATGTTCCTCTGAGGAAGGGTAATCACAAGCACGCGTCCCATTTTCTTCAACATGAGCCCCGAAAAAACGCAATTGCTTGCCCAACAGAAAATGTTTATGCTCAAAAAGACCGAATCTCCGGGGGAAAATAAACCCCGGAAGAGCCCGCCTTACTCGAAGGGGAAAAAAAACCCGGAAACACGGCACCTTACTAAATATCATAACCCAAGCAACTAACTACATGCCTCCGTCTCTTTCAGAGCTGCATCAAAGGACAGTGCATCACTGATTAACTCGTTGCATTTGCTACGTACTAAAAAGAACAAATATTTAAAAAAAATGTATGTTTATTTTCCACTGAATAAAGTGAATTGATATTTGAAACAACCAAGTACTGGTGCCACTGGGCGTCATTATGTCGAGAACGGCTTTTTTTTTTATTGTTCAAGATTACATTTTAAGTGCGAGATGGACGAGGTAGCTCTAGCAAACCGTTTTGTTTTAAAACGATAGCGTTAAGGAGTTTGTGTCACAGAAAATCTGGCGTTGGTGGCGTGATGAAAAAAAGCCGGCGGCGAGGGCGTGCCGCGGAAATCCTAATTCGTCAACACCGTTACAACCACATGGCCTCGCGCGGGTATTTCAAACAACCCACAACGCTCACGTGACGTCGCGGGTAAAAAAAAAGTGATTAAAAAACATGGCCTGTAATGCGAATGAAAGGTCGCCGCATGTCTCATATAATTTCACTCTATAAAGTAAATAATTTGCCTTAAACAAAAATGTGAAAAGTTTTAGTCGGGATTCGAACCCACGACCCTTCCGATGTGAGCAAGACAGGCTACTAAATAGGACACGCAAGGCTTTTTTTCTTTTTCACCTTTTTAGTGCATGAATCGAATAAAACGCAGGGGCACAAATTCAACGTTTAAATTCGCACGGCGTACCCTCGCCGGCGCAGTGTGGTTAAAAAACTTTCATGGCAACCAGTCTGTCCAGAACTGGCAGCCAGACGGGCTGCTGACTCTGTGCTCTATACACTTCTTTTACGTGAGCAACACTCTCAATAAAATATTCTCAAACGGTACGAGTATCCACATAAGCGTGTCGCACCACCGTACTTGATCTCCACATACTATGCAGAGCTAAGGCCATAAATATGCCAAAGGGCACGCGCCTTTCGTTCTCCGCAGAAAGGAAACTGATTCCATAAATTGCTATTGGCAAAGTTTTTTTTTTTCTTTTCAAAGTGCGCTGCATGATGTCCCAATGAAATACCGTATCCTAGCAGGCTAGAAATATATGTTCTATAGTTTCAGCTTTCGGCACAAAATTCGATTGATTGATTGACCAGAGATCAAAGATGTCGTTATCCTGAAGCCGCGCCTTAACAGGGAGCCATGCCTCTGTGTAGTTGGAAAAAGAACGACTTCAATGCTGGCCGAACCGGCAACTCTTTAACCCTTTTGTGGATATCTTGGCCGGGGCCGTCAAAGTAAAAAGAACGGCACAGAGGAACAAAGGAAAAAAGCATATCAACTAGATCTTTGTACAACCGCTTGTGCTCAGGTATTCCAAAGAAAAGCGCACCTTAAGAAACTGAAAAGCCTTCACAGCTTCGTGCAAGAAACCTCGTACCCTCAAGCATCTGACATTACTCGAAGATATAACAAATTCAGGCAAGGCATCACGCAGTTAAAAAACTGTAATGCAATCTGCAAATCTAAATAATTTTGATCCTGCAAGAAACTTAATCTAGACACGACTTGCCGTAGAAACTAATGAGCCTACCACAGCGCTTCACTTCACACAGAACGAATCAAGTTAGTACAACTAGTGCACTCCCAGCTTGAAACCCAAACAACAATCCCGAACACCCTGTGGAACTTGTCTACACTAACTCTAGACGTCCAAAGCACCTGGATCACATACCATGCTTTTGCCAAAATAAAGAGGTTACAAACTGTTGAGCGAGCGAACATTAAAGGTTAGACCACCCCCCCCCCCTCCCCATACACACTTTATCGTTTTAGCACGAGCTTGTTCCGTTTCTTCCCTCCAGTACTCAGCAGTATCTCGGTGGTGCTAGATCTGTACCCTAAGGTACTTGCACGGTGAGGTGAAGTCCACTGAATTCTTTCAAAAACAGCTGTTGTACTTTCCCAGGTGGTAACCTGACAAAAGCTCACCCGAAAGAAGCTCACCGGACAAAAGCTCACCTGTTTTTTCACAGACCCTCACAAAAGCTCAAATCATTTTTGGGGGGGCTACCCGGGCGAAACGCGGGCTGGGATGAAGTGCGGATGTGATGGACATTGCACCATTTTTAGGAGAAGTGGTACCCCATCCCATGCAAAGGTGGGGACAGATAAGCCACAGCAGGCAGGGAAGCAACGATTTGGTACCAAACTTTAGGTAATCTAAATTAAGGGGAGCTGATAAGATCAAGCTTGCTTGATTGAGGGTATGCCGGAGGACCCTTGTGCCACGTCGAAGAAACTTCGTGAACCGAAGTTATTGAGCCCGAAGAGTCAACGAAGAAGCGAAGTCACCCTTTGGTGACCTCGCTTTTTTATTGTGCTTCTGTCACCTTTAAACGCACATAAAGGTTAGGCAGAATGTTTCTTCATTACTAATGCATGTTTTTTTGGGGGGTTTAGGGTAATGTTTCGAGTGAATGGCTAAGAAAATTAAATTGCTTCTGCCATTTTGCGTCGTAAACGTATTTGAAATCAAGAAATATTTCAGGGTAATGTGAAAGGGAAACTAAAGCAAAGCTGCATTATAGAAACTATCAAATTGCGAATTTAAAAAAAAGATTTTTGAAGGAACGGGAGTTGGGCTTTTTCGACAAATACGAGACACATGACCACTTTAGAAAGTTGTGGTGGATTTTGGACAGGCTGGCGTTCCTTCCACCACATATGCCCAAAAGACTAACCTACATCAGGGGAAAGTCTACCGGTGGACTACTTTGATTGTACGTATGTCAAAGGCCCTTTCCGTGATACTTCCGCTCCTTATGCGGCGGCACCTAGAGGGAATTCTTCCTTTTGCCTGACTGTACGCCGACGACGATCGGAGTTTCCCCCAGGATGGTAAAACATGTACGACGCCACTTTTCAAAATAAAGAAGGACGAACAATACTTTTGAAGGATGGAATACCGGGTTCCGGAAGATCGTCGGCCACGCCCTTTCAATCGTCAGGAGGCTGATTGAATGCCTACAGCAAATTCAGGCGCTTGTTGCCACGGCTTTGACAAAAGCCCGGAGAGGTGAGCCCCCAGTGAAGCGGGTGCAAAAAACCTGTTTGCGACTGCAGAATTATCTGAAAAATATTTGCGAGGGTTTTCAGGTAGACTGAGATGTACCAAGACTGCTGGAGCTTGTAGGGGACTGTAGTCGCTTCTAGCCAATGGATAAATGAACTTGTTTCCACTCGAATTAAGAAACCATGGGCCCTGTCAGATTTAATTTGTCGTCGCAGTTTAGTGTCGCACGCATGCACCTAAGTTGTCCAAACTCGTGTTAAGACCAACATGAAATTTTCTCCTGGTGAGCTTCTGTCGGGGTCTGTGAAAAAATTGGTGAGCTTTTGTCCAGTGAGTTTCTGTCCGGTGAACTTTTGTCCGGTGAGCTTTTGTCGGGTGCGCTTTTGTCCGGTGAGCTTTTGTCCGGGATTCTCAGCAGACGTCTATCTTGAGAACACCAGAGTAAACTCCTGTTTTTCTGTGATCTGTGCATTTTTGAGCGTCATCAAAATAGGTATACAAGGCAAACGTGCGTTTACATTTCATTGTTTTAACCAACGTTCCAATTATTTGTTATGAATGTCCAAGTTTTTTTATTATTACTGATATTTATATATTTAAAACGTTTTCTTATTCACCAACGCCTGAACCGAAGCTCGGCTTATTCGGAACCAAAGGAAAAAGAATATTAATCCTATCAAATATTTATTATTTACTTATCACCTTACTGTCACCAACACTGTTTTGCTATTCTCTGGCAATATATGCCGGTATAGCAAGATGTACAGAAATCAATTCTCATCGATTTATGTACATCTGCATAAAGCTTCTTCAGCTTTGCTGAAGAAGCTCGAAGCAGAGCATGGAGCATTCGTGAGGCACGATATGGCACACCTATCCAGTGCGTCAGTTCGAAAGGTGTTCAGCGTAGCATTCAATATCTTCAGAATGATATGACGCACAAATGTCTGACGACACTTTTGTGAGCCCGTTGTTGCTCCTAAATACTCAAGGTCAATAAATATAACAGGTGCAACGATAAGAACTTGAATAACCCTCTCCCCTCTGCTTCCTACTTGAGGACCATAGTGTTGGAAGTAACGCCACGAAAGTAACGGATTGCTTTTTCTGGGTAGAGGACACGTACTTTTTAGGAGAGTAATTGCAATTAAGTTTAATTACAATTTAGCCTCAAGTAATTGGGAATGTAATTCCTTAATCTTTTTCAGTAACGTGTACAAGTCTGGGTCACGTGACATCAGAATACGTGAAGTTAATTTCCCCGCTAAATTTAGCGGAAAAAGGAACGTTCCGTGACCTACGCCCCGATTTGATTTCCCAGCTGAATTTAGTGGGGAAACTAACGTCCCGTGATGCAAATGTCACTTGATGCTAGAACGTGTCGTGTATGCCACACAACAAACCTTTTTTGAATAACGGGTGCCGTCTGGGGAGTTGTCTGCGAACTACAAATGAAGAGTAGTTCAGCATGCCTTCGCCCGTCAGAACACATTGGCATCGTGCCGTTGTATTGGTTTTCAGGGCTTTTTATACCCCCATACTACCGATACTAAAATTTGAAGTGTCAAAAGAGGCCAAATGTGCCAACACAGATTCTCAAAATGTTGCTGTCGCGATTTTTGCAGAGCACCGTCGTGCTGCACTGCGAAAATTGCGACGACGAGAGTGTACGCATGCGCAGAAGCTTACTCGAGAAAGGTCCATTGCTGGGCAATTTGCCACACAAATATCGTTTACAATATTTATTCTGACTTGGAGATTCCAGATCATGTTAATTTCTGTCTGAAACATTGACGCAAGGAAAGCAACGTGACGATGCCGATGCCGATGACGTCATCAGTGACGATGCCGATGCGGATGCCGATGACGTCATCAATGACATCACTGATGACGTCATCAAGGACGATGACGATGTAGATGACGATGACGTCGTCAGTGAAATCACTGATGACGTCATCAGTCACGATGCCGATGACGTCATCGGTGACGATGCCAATGACGTCATCAGGGACGATGACGA